GCACTGAGACTCACTCCATAGCCTTGTGCTTTGATTTATAAACTTCAGAGTCAAACCTGGCTTTGAAGTCTCCCCCTGCCATGTACTAGTGAGTTATATATCTTTGCAAACCCTCCATTTTTACATCAGTAAAACTGGGATGACAATCAAGTTGTTATAGAAAATAAATGTCCTTTTATTCAACAATTCATGTAATAACCTTAGAATAATGTCTAGCATGTTCAAAATGTTCTATGCCATATTTTAAAAAACTTACTCAAAGTATTGTATTATATCATTAATGGTAAGTCTAGGAGATCTCAGTTTAGCAAATTGGTTTTCTCTGGGCAACTTGTGACAGGATTTATCTCTCTGGAGTTTATTTGGTAAAAATAAATATTGGTAGCTCTCCTCCCATCAGAAGTGGAAGAAGACCTTGGGCACTGGTATGGACTGGGTTGAAGGTTAACTCAGCACCTAAAGATGTGAGTCCTTTGAGCTGCTGTGGCTTTGGGTAACTAATGGTCTTTGTACGAAGTTGCAGTAGAACTGACCATGCATTTTTACCATTTTGGTGTTTTCTTCAGGTTTATTGGGAAGTAATGTAAATATTTTGTTGAGCTCTAAAATAGAAACTATAGAAATTGTCATTATAGTTTATATTATTTAAAGTTTGATGATATAAAAATAATATTGTTTAATTTGCATTTCTTTAGTTACTAATATAATTGACTCTTTTTCATAATCTTACTAATCTTATTTCTTACTGGTAAATTTTTTTATCTTCTTTGACCATTTTCTTCTACAAGGTTATTTTTATTGATCTGGAATAAAATGCCATATTTTAAAAATATATATTGTATTGATTTTTTTACAGAGAGGAAGAGAGAAGGATAGAGAGTTAGAAACATTGATGAGATGATCAGTTGCCTCTTGCACACCCCCTACTGGGGATGTGCCCACAACCAAGGTACATGCCCTTGACAGGAATCGAACCTGGGACCCTTCAGTCCACAGGCCAACGCTCTATCCACTGAGCCAAACCAGCTTCAGTTAAAATGCCATATTTTTTTAAGACTTACTCATTTATTAAAGATAAGCTCCTATTGATCTTTATATATTAAAGTTTTTGCTACATATTTTTCCATCTTTTGTTAATTTTTGTTTTAACTTAAAACAAAAGTTTATAATTTTTATATAGGTAAAGTTGTTAAGTTGTTTTTCCTTTTTAGTTGCTTTCATTGCTTTTAGGCTTAGAAAGAGGCTTTCTCTACTTTAAAACTAGTTAAATATATACCTATATATTCTTATATATTGTAGAGTGTTGTTCATTTATTACTTTTTACTGCTTAACCCATTTAAAATTCTTAGACTGGTAACAGTTTTAAAGTTATAAATTTATATAGCCTTTCTAAAAAATGTTTTTGTAATATTTGTATAAGCACAAATGAGTTGGTATTAATTGTCCCAATTCTAAGAATCTAACTTAAGAAAATGTTTAGGCATGTAGTCAAGGATTTCTAGGTAAAGATAGTCATTCCAATGCTGTTTATAATGGCAAAAAATAGAAATAACTTAAAAATCTCTCATGGGTGGTAGAGTGAGTAAATGTTCTTCAGCATTACTGTCCAATATGGTGACCAGTAGCTATGACTGGCTATTTAAATTCAAATGTATTAAAGTTAAATAAAATTAAAGATACAGTTCCTCAGTTATACTAGTCACATTTCAAGTGTTAACAGCAATACATAACTAGTGGTTATCATATTGGAAAGCACAGATATAGTACATTTCCCTTCCCACAGAAGTTTCTATTACGTAGTACTGCCTTGTGGCCATTAAAATCAGGTTTAAGAATTATTTTAAATATGTTAGATGTATTCACAATATGATGCTAAGTAAAAATATAATAAAAATATTTGGTGGTAACAGAATTTCTGATTGGTTGCAGTAACTTCAATTATCACTATCTTCATCAAGTTATGTTTTTCTCAGAAGAAACCCAAAGAAAAAAAATCTGAAGCTTAATAAGTACATATAAATTTAATGAGATAGATGGGGAAATCTAGTGGATGGTACCCACTCATTAGCTATTATTTGATTCAAAATCCAAATGGGAATTATCATACAGGGTCAGATGCAAGACCTAATTAACACTGTATTCTGTGACCAACAATGGTCTTAAAATTTCTGTCAATATCTATTATCCAGCTAATAAAGGCACAAAAACAACTTAGCCAACAATGACACTTTGGAACTTGGGGTACATAAAGCAAAGAAATTTAGAGAATTTCATAAATATAGAAAGGCTGCAAGGCCTCTCAAACATCAATAAATAATCAACCACTACAAAAGAATGCTTCACTGTGTATGAATAAAATTTGGGGAAATTGTGCCCATAAAGAAAACCTACCTCAATCTTCCCACTGAGAATAACTAAAAATGTTAAATAAAATTTCTATTTCTAAAAAAATGTTCGGAGTATCAGAGAAGTAATAAACAGTAAAAAAAAAAAAATCTGGAAGAACATAATATGTAAAGAGGTGAGCTGAGCATTTAGGATCACTTCTGATTAAGTTTTGTCACGGCCAAAGAGGTATCTGAAAGGCTGAGCATTTTGTAGTTTATAAATTCAAAAGTTGCGGTCCAGAGCCCATAAATGATAGGTGTTTTATAAACCTTCTATACTTTGTGCAAAACAGAAATAAGCCAGCTTTTTTAAGAAGTGCAATCTAGCTTTGAGCCATCTGGGCCACCCAGAAAAAAAACTCAAACTCTAAAAATTGGCTAAAATAATCCCTGATTATAATTTTCTCAGATTCCCAACAGAAACAAACCAAAACTTTCTCTAGAGCCGTAGATCATCATCTTAGGCCTCAAAATATATGTACAAAGTTTTCTAAATACAATGTCCATCATGTAATCAAAGATAACCAGTCACAAAATGAGAGATGAGAAACAATAAAAACAACTCTTAAAGAAGCTCCTGAGTTTAGAATAATAAAGTACAGACTTTAAAATAACTATGTTTACTGTGCTTGAGATTTCTTTTAATTAAAAATATTGAAAAATAACTGAACATTTTAAAAAATGGCAGCAGATTTGAAAAAAGAACCAAATGGAAATTCTAGAACTGAAAAAAATGTAATGACTGAAATTACTCAATGAATTAGTTTAACAGTGGATCAAACAGACCTGAAGAAATAATTTGAGACCTGAAAGATAGGTTTGGAATGAGATATGGAAAGGCAAAAGTTGGAATAAATAGAAGAGAGCATGGGAAAAAATGGAGGATATGGAGAGAGAAATCTAGCATTGGAATCCCAGAAGAAAAAGCCAAGATGAAGCAATCTCAGAAAAATAGCTGGGGATTTTCCTATGAATCCACAAATTCATGAAGTCCTAGGAACTTCAGGAATAAAACAATAAGAAGAAATTCATACCTTGAACCATAGTATTAAAACAATAGAAAACTAAAGACAAAAAGAAAATTATTAAAAGAAGTTGACAGTAAAAGTCACTTTTAAAGAAACAACAGTTAGCCAAAACTGGTTTGGCTCAGTGGATAGAGTGTTGGCCTGTGGACTGAGAGGTCCTGGGTTCGATTCCGGTCAGGGGTATGTACCTTGGTTGTGGGCATATCTTCGGTAGGGGGTGTGTGGGAGGCAGCTAATCGATGTATCTCTCTCTCATTGATGTTTCTAAATAACTATCTCTCTCCCTTTCTCTCTGTAAAGGATCAATAGAATATAGTTTAAAAAAAGAAAAAAAAAGAAACAACAGTTAAAAATATAAATGACTTTTCAACATCAAGACAGTGGAATCTCTCTTCAATGAACTGAAAGAAAATCACTGTCAACATAGAATTCATACCACTAAAAATATCCTTCCACAATGGGAGTGAAATCAATAATGTCCAAACAAATGCTGACAAAATTCTTTACCAGTAGACCTACATTTAAAAAGAAACCAATGAGTGTTCTTCAGGCAAAGAAAAATAACCTCAGATGGAAAGTCAGAGATGTGAAAGGAAAGAAAAGCAATAAAAATTGAGGCATCAGCAGGCTGAAATCTGTACAAGAATATGATTTGGAAGAAGCTGACTTCCAGGTGACATTATCTTCCTACTATATTAGTTGGAAATTATATTTGACTACCATCTGAAAGAAAATAGTTAAACACAATCTTTAAATCACATTTTGGAATATATTTTTTACTATTTGTGGATAAAGAAAAATCAAATGCTATTAAGAGAAGATCAATATATTATACTGCATGATTTAAAAATACAAATGGCCAAAGAAACCATTTAAAAGTAATAATAGAGAAAATATGTACAATAGCTCATCAGAAATATTAGTTGTTTTAGCAGTCAGGAGCTCTTTCTGTCTTGTGTTATGTGAGTTGAAAATACATTGTAAATGAAAATTTATGATATTTAGGGTAGTAGAATAAGATAAGGAATAGCCTTCCAGTGGTTTGTTAAAAAAATGTAAATAGTTGTATTTTCACATTAATGAAAATTTTCAGTATAGACAATATGTCCCCTTGATATCCCCTCCATCCTTAGAATTTTAAGATTCATGCTAAATGTTCTGAGAATGTCAGTACTGAATTATTAAGATACAAGTCCTTTGCTGTAAGAATAGGTCAAAGGGACTGCCCATTAATCTATTCCATTGTTCTCAAAGGACATCATTACCAATAGAATCATTCTATCAACAATGGTGCTGTCGAGTAGGTCTCATAGGATAGTCCCTGTCTCATTCACATTATCCACTCTGCCAGTCCCCTTTATTTCATGGTATTTCTATAGCATGTCCTCTGTTCTCTGAAAACCATCATGTGGAAATGATGACTAATATCAATGGCTTAACTGAATCAGATCAGGAATGTCCTCTATAGGGAGCAACAGCTGGATGATAAAGCAGACACTTGGCATCAGTTAATTTTTATTCACATCACTGTCCCAGGCAAAACCGAGAGCAGGGGGTGGAAATGGGCATTTGGCACTCACTCACCTGCCGGAGCTTGGTTCCTACCATGGAGGCACTGCTGTCAAGCACAAATACCACATTCTTGGGTAAAGGAGGAAGGTCTTTGGGGGCAAAGTAGTGCACAAAATATTCATTTAGCACCTGGTGCAGGGAAAAGAAAGTAAAAATGATAGTATCCAGAATAGGTAGAAAAACGAAAATGGACTGTCTATGGAACTTCTAAACATCAAAGATATCATGGAACAGTGTCTCTGGTCAGATTCTGCACCCAGAGCAAAAGTATTCATGGCCTTGATCCTTCCAAAAGAACCAATTACTAATTTAATCTCAATAAGGATAAAATCATCCCTTAACATTTTATTGACTATGTTGACTAATTTAATTTAAATTGTCCTTTTCTGCCTCTTGCCACTTGAGAATCCCTGCTTCCTTAATTATCTGGTTTTTACCAAGCATCTTACTAGTACAAATTGAGATGTCAAGGAGTTTGTCCACATTCTGGGTGGCACGTTAATACATTTTAATATTCACACCTTTTCTCTGGAGCAATAAAACCTAAAGGGAAATGAGCAAGGGACCAATCTCTTTTAATTAAAATTTAAGAATTAAAATTCTAATGCCATCTAACATAGCACAGGGAAAAGTGTAGATATCAACTAGCTCTCCAGATTACTGAAGCAGGAAATACTAGGTGTACCAGTTAATAATGCAGATTTTTTCAATAGATTGAGTTACTCATATATTGATATATATGCAATTTGATATGTATGTTATTTTGTTGTATTGACAGTAAGCTTCAAAACTTCATATGACAAATTTTCTGAAAGTGTTAACATCATAGATATTTTTACACTTAAAAATGTCAAATTTTGTGCCCAAAAAAGAGCATTTGTGGGAGGTTTTAATTCATTATTTTATTTTGAAGAAAAGTGCTCCTAAAAGTTATCATATTCTTTGGGACACTTACAGTGAACATGCTCCATCTCAAGATACTTGTGAACGCTGATTTAAACGTTTTAAAAGTGATGATTTCTATGTGAAAGACAAAGAACGTACATTTTCCTTTCTTTAAAATATAAGAAATATTTTAAAGAAAGAAAAATGGGTGCCACATCAAGTGAACGAAAGACAAATGGAAAACCAAAAAGTCATCAGTAAGATTTTGTTTCAACAGCACGAAAGAAAGTCTTTTTTGCATTGAATTGTGACTGGCAATGAAAAGTGGATTTATTTTGAGAATCCCAAATGCACAAAATCATGGGTTTATCCAGGTCAACCATCAACATCTACTGCAAGGCCAAATTGCTTCTGAAAGAAGTCAATGCTCTGCATTTGGTGGGATCAGAAAGGTGTGAGCTTCTAAAACCAGGCGAAACCATTAATACTGATCACTACCAATAGCAAATAATCAATTTGAACCATGCTTTGATTGTAAACAACTAGTGTTCACAAGTATCTTGAGATGGAGCATGTTCACCATAAGCTTCCCAAAGTATATGATAACTTTCAGGACACTCTTCTTCAAAATAAAATAATGAATTAAAACTTCCCATAAATGCTCTTTTTTTGGCACAAAATTTGACATTTTTAAGTGTAAAAATATCTATGATGTTAACACTTTCAGAAAATTTGACATATGAAGTTTTGAAGGTTACTGTCAATACAACAAAATAATATACATACCAAATAGCATGTATATCAACATATGTGTAACTCCATCTATTGAAAAAAATCTACATTATTAACCGGTACATCTAGTACCCTCAGATTCCAGCTAGGGAATACCACTAGTCTCCTTGGAGACACATTTTGGGTTCAAATATATTTTCTAAGAATCAGTCACTATCCCTTGGGTAAGTATTGGAATCCCCAGTTCTGAGTCTAACTAAAAGTATTAAGCAACTAACATGAAACAGTAGCAACTTACCTGGATGTCCCCAATGTTCTGTTCCCTATTAACATCATATCTAATGATGAAATCTCCCAAAACGCCATTCTGAGCAATCCTTGCTTGCTGAACCACACTAGGCTTAAAAATGACTTTGGCAAAAGTTTCATTTTGGTTGATAACAGTAGAAGGAGGTGGCCCAGCATCATCTGCATGCAAAATATAAACATAATTAATCACTAAATATGTAAATACTAGAGGCCCAGTACATAAAATTCATGCATGGGGGGGGGGGGCCTCAACCCAACCTGCACCCTCTCCAATCCAGGACCACTCAAGGCATGCCCAACTGTTGGTTTAGGCCTGATCCCCAGGATCGGGCCTAACCTGGCAGTCAGCTATCACTCTCACAATCCAGGACTGCTGGCTTCTAACTGCTCACCTGCCACCTGCCTGATTGCTCCTAACCACTTCTGCCTGCCAGCCTAATCGCCCCCTAACTGCTCCCCTGCCAGCCTGATTGCCCCTAATTGCCCTCCCCTGCCAGCCTAATCACCCCTATCAACCCCCCCTGCCAGCCTGGTTGCCCCTCACTGTCCCCGCATTGGCCTGGTCACTTCTCACTGCCCCTCTCTGCTGGCCTTGTTGCCCCTCACTGCCCTCCCAGCTGACCTGGTTGCCCCCAACTATCCACCCTGCCAGCCTGGTCGCCCCATGCAGACTGCTATTCGGTCATTGTATGAGGGCGTCCCGACCAATTTGCATATTTCTCTATTATTACAATAGTATAGATTTTCCTTAAGGAGGGAAAATTGTATTACAGTGACACAGAGGGTTAGACTTCATTTGATCATGGGTTTATTTCCTCATGAAATTTCTAGACATTATGCTAATAATGTATCATGATGCATGAGATAAGCTATCATATAGTTCACCTTCATGCCTCTCTTTTAATCTTTTCTTATGAGAATTTTTTAAACACACAAAAGTAGAGAGAATAGTAAAATGAACCCCAAAAACCCATTACCCAACTTTAATAATTATCAACTATTTACCAATATTTTGTATCTATTTTTATGTATCACCTCATCATTTTTGATAGAGTAGTTTAATATATTTTATTGATTTTACACAGAGAGGAATTGAGAGGGACAGAGAGTTAGAAACGTTGATGAAAGAGAAACATCGACCAGCTGCCTCTTGCACACCCCCTACTGGGGATGTGCCCACAACCAAGGTACATGCCCTTGACTGGAATCGAACCCGGGACCTTTCAGTCCGCAGGCTGACGCTCTATCCACTGAGCCAAACCAGCCCCGGCTTGATAGAGTAGTTTAAAGACAAATCTCAGACATCATATTTCATCCATAAATACTTCAGTGTGAATCTCTAACTATAAGAACCTTTTTTTTAGCATAACCACAAAATCATTATCACAAGTAACAAAATTAATGGGCAATCCTTTATTATGGCTGAATACTGAGTCTGTATTAAAATTTTCCTAATTCTTTAGAAAATGTCTTGAAATGGTTCGTTTGTTGGAATTAGGATCAAAACAAAGTCCCAACATCACATTTGGTTTATGTTTCTTAAGTCTCTTTTAATCTATAAATGCCACCTATCCCCACCTTTTTTCTACTACTAAATATATGTGTTATAAAACATTGGTCATTTGTTCTACAAAGTTTCTCACATTCTGCATTTCTTGATTATTTTCTCATCCTATCTTTTAACTTGCTCCTCTATTCCCCTGGTTTACAACCTTGGTTTGTACTGTAACATCTGGGAGAGCTAGAAAAAATACTGATGCCCATGCCAAGAGCTCATTTAATTGGTCTGGGACACGGCCTGGGCCTCAGGGTTTTAAAATTTCCCCTGAGAGCCGAATGTATTAAAGTTCACAGCACAGCTCAATCCCCTGTATTTCTTTGTGTTCTGGCAGGTAGACCTGAAGGCTTGGTTAGACTTAGGTTCAATGCTATCTGCAAGAACACTTCATATGTGATGTGAGTACTTACTACTTTATCACATCAGAAGGTACATAATATCAACTTGTCTACTTTTAGTGGTGGTAAGATTGATGGTTGGTTCCAGGATTCGCAATCTGATGACCTATAATAAAGTTCCTCACCAAATTTTTACTTAACAGTTTTATCAACTGCTAATAATGTTGCTCTAGACCCACTATTTCATTAGAGTTGTAAAGGAGGTTTCTGATTCTATCATTACTTCCATATGGATTTCCTCCATAAAGAAAACCTTTCCTTCATCAGTTATTTGGTTGCCCTACCATACTGTTTGTCCAGAAAGTTTGTGGTTCTTAAAATACAAAACAACAAAAAAGAACAACTTTCTCAGAGCTTTCCCCACTTTCCAAAGCTTTCCCCAGCATGAATCTTGGGCTAAAAATTAGAATTCTATAAATGTAAACAGATGAATATATTTTATGTAATTTAAGAAAACTTAGTGAGATGATATAAAGCAAAGTCATCCCATTTTTTACCTCTGACCTTTACTTCATGTTAGAAAACAAATAATCGTTTCACAGACTGCCCATTTTTACAAATTCAAACACCACCATGTTTATATACTTAGCAACAGAAATACAAATTTTTGAGATCTTTTTACACAACAAATAATATGAAAATAAAATAGAGAATTCATAAATATCAGTGCATGTGGAGATGTTTTATCCAGATACTGAATCAAAACCAGGCTTAAGACTGCTGTAAAGCATCTGACTATCTTAAAATCTATTAAAGTTGATACCATAAAGATGATCAGGAATTTTCCATCCTTATTAAAATAAATAAATAAATAAGGAAATGAGGCATAATTTAGCTATGGTAATTTGTATTTAAGAATAAACTTCCTTCTGCTAAATTTTATTAGATATTAAAATGAAAGGAAATTTAAACATTTCCTTCAACAGAACAGACAATTATTTTTCAGCAACAAGTTAGGTATAACTGATAGGGAGGACTTATAATCTAATAGATAGAGCACTTAAATTAATCTGAAAAGTACTCATACTTTTTAAAATCTTAGAACATATATACTTAATAGGTGGTTAAGTTTCTTAAATATGAATAGGGGATTAAGTTTTTCTTAAAGTATCCTTATCAAGGCCTATGCAAAGCAATTGAGAAGGGGACTCAGCTATGAATCCAGCAAGCAGAACCGATAAACATAGTCAGGCTGACCTATCAGGAGTCAAACCATCATCTTATCAACATCATCTCATCACCTAATGACTAATTATAATAGCTGATGTCTGCAGACCCCCAGGCCTGCACATAGCTGCATTCCTCACCACAGCCCCTTCCCCTTTATAATGCTTCCCCCTGATTCTTGTTGGAAGACAGGATTTGATGTATGTAAGCACCCAGTGTCCCTGGTTGGCAGCCTTCTCAATCAATGCCTAGTATGATTCAACCCTGCCTTTGTTATTGGACACAGTGACAGGCAATCCATGCCCAACCAGGGGTTTCCTGGTAACATAGCCTAAACAGGAACCACAGAGCAAAATTGAGTCTTCTATTATTTCTACTTACCAAGGGCAGAAATGTTGGGAATGACCAGAGAGCTAGCAAATAGGAAAGTTTATTTCTGTAGAAAGAAAACTGTTTGGAAGATTACATGCTTCCAACAGATTTGCTCATCTGAAGAAGGAGTTGGGAAATTCTCAATGCTCATCTACAAATGCGAGCCTCCAATTCATTAGCCTGGTTGACATTATCTTAGAACCAGTAGGCAAGAAGAAGGAAAAGAGGCTGATAATGAAATGGTTCTTGAAATAGAATAAAATTTGCTGTTCTATGGAATCAATCTTTAATTTCATTGGTGATTATTGGTAAAGCACCAAGAGTGAGCAGCTTGATAATACACTACCTAAGAACTCAGGAACATGAATGAATGAGAAGTACTTGCATTTAATACCTCTTATTATCTACTAGAGGCCAGATGCACAAAGATTTGTGCAAGAATGGACCTTCCTTCCCCTGGCTGCCAGCACTGCCCTTGCTCTGGCCAGAGCCACCTTTCCTCCTTCACATGCTACCCAGAGGCCCAGAGTGGTTGGGGCTGTGTGGAACGCCTGCATCCAGCCCTGCCCCCATTGTACATTTCTGTAATTAACCCAGCTTTGTTGGGTTAAATTGCATACTCACTCCTGATTGTCTTGTGGGCATCATGAAGGTACGCTCAATTTGCATCTTTCTCTTTTCTTAATGTAGATGAGAATTTGGACAAATTACTGAGTCTGCATTATCTCATCTATAAAATGGATTAACTCACACTATTGAAAAGATTAAGTATGTATTAAGTAGTATAAAAAAGATTAAGTAATGTATTTAGTGTTATTCTGCTTCATGGTAAGCAGTCATGTTAGCTAATATTATTAGGAAACTAAAATGTCTAAAAATAAAAGTAGGGCCAGGGAATCAAATGTAAGACAATACGACATGTCAAATTTGAAATACTACAGGCAACAAAAAGAAAGGAACTACTGCTACTTAAAATATTGAATTTCACAATTATTTAGAGTAAAACATAACATAAATAAGACTGTATATTCACCATTTTTCCATTTACATAAACTTAAGAGCAGCACAACTTATACATGGCGTTTGGAATAGAATAGTGTTAGCTTTGGGGGGTGAGGACTGACTGGGAAAGAGTATAAGGGAGCCTTTGGGGTGGTGGAATACTCTATGTCTTGATTTGGAAGTAGCTATACTGATATATATATATATATATATATATATATATATATATATATATATATATATATGTGTGTGTGTGTGTGTGTGTGTGTGTGTGTGTGTGTGTGTAAAAATTAATCAAGGTGTACACATAAGGTGCATATACTTTAGTGTATGTATACCCCAACTTTTAAAAAAGTTAAAGTCATTGGAAGTTGTATAGCAGAACAGATTAGGTGTTTCCAAAGTAATTCCAGCTGGCAGGACCCAGAAGCACTTTCGTGCAATATCAGTAAAAGCTCTAAGAAAGATGTCTTGTTGGCAGAGGCCACTATTCCAACTCATCTCTTTTGAAATATTCAGAGCCAGCCTTGGATGACTCAGTCACCTGCAGGGACAGTGCAAGCAGTTCTGACCATGTGGTCTCAGACCAGCCACATCAATATCACATGGGAACTTGCTGGAAACACAAATTCTTGGGCCCACCTAGAAATTCTGAATCAGAAGCT